ATAAACGCAGTGAGTTAGCTGTGGCACATTTTGAATTTGCGCGCTTTTCACGCGCGTGGACACGATGAATGAACCGAGGTGCAACGCGTGCATTATTTCAGGAGCACGTTTCGGTGACAAGTTGGGGCCACACATTGCTAATGCTCATTAGGTACGTGCAATGCGCTAAGTAAAGGAAATTTCAAGGTGGGTAATTTTCCGAGTGATTTTTAAACTTGTAAAAGTTAAAACATCATATTTTAAAATAAATAATAGAACAAAAAGTTTCTTGAGGTAGTAAATAATGTTTACCCTCTTATTTTCATTACTTTCAGTGCAATCATCGTCCAAAGTGTGTCCATATTGTATTTCACAGCAGCCGGATTAGTATTCCACGTTTGGGCAAGAACTATGCGCGATTTGCGTTTCTATCACGCTCGTCGAGCATCGAATATTTCGAATAATTCATGGCTAGATTACGTAAAGCGTATGTGCACGCGCGTACGCGCCGCCACCGCTCTCGGCGCGCGTTTTATTCACTCGTTCGGTTCGTCGGTTCGCCGAGTGCATTAATATCACAACGCGGCACACACGCACACATCGCCAACGATATTATAAGACCTTGAAGCGCCTCGTGGTTTTATATTATAATTTTTTTATTTCGTGTGCTGCGATTTTTTAGAGCGCGCCCGCCGCGCAATTAACACGCGATCCCGACGACTGCGAGTGTCACTTTGCGGCCTGCCAAAAACTTCAACAGTGACAATTTAGTTATCAAAAACGTTTTGATATCTCTTTGACTCGGGTAAGTCAATGATCGAAGCATAAAGGTGCAAAAAATCACGCGCGGAAGAACCTTGAAGCGTGGAGCGGGCTCGACGTAGACTTAAGTCGAAATTACGAAACTCGTGCGTACACACTTTGCCCGGCTCAGTAAACTTTGGCAAGGCAACAAAATTGCCGATAATTACATGCACTCACGCAATTAACATTAATTTATGCTGGACACAATCATACGAAGCAGATACGCACTTTGTACAGGAGCATAAAATTCTTTCATATTTTCAAATGAATAGTGTAAATGTTAAGTATAAGTATACTTAGGTAAGTTGTGTGTTAAAAATCGCTTCGTTTTGTAGCTTATTATTTCGAAGGAATCGTGAATCGGCGGCGGGCGGCGGCGTTGTCTAAGTGTGGTGGCGTTAAAAGTGAAACGCGTCACCGTGCCCTCAATCCGGCCCGCGGCCCGCCTAATTATAAACGCGGCGCTCGCGATGCATTCCGCATTCACGCCGGCCGTGTGGCAATCGGTAATTTTGCGGCGCAGTTGCAACGCGAGCATTAAATTCTCGCCTTAGGAATGGTCCAAAATGCATCTGAACTTAAATTTTTCAGAAATAGCACTAAATTACACCATACTCGTAAGTAGTTTAATTAGTAAGTATCTACGCTTAAATAAATAGCTCTACACACCTAACCTGAAACCAAAACTTAATCGCAGACAATACTAACTTTAACTTTAAAGTCCTTTAAAGCCAGATTCTGATGAGATTCGCCAGATATATATCAATAATATTATGAAAATTTAATAAATATTAATCATCTAAACATTCCTCAAAAAATACACGATTACTACACGCGACAATAAACCACCGACACTTTTAAAAATTGCGATCAATCAAAAAAGATTGTGTTATTGCGATATGATACTCAAATCGTAAATTGATAATAATTAATACGCAATACTATTTATTATTAATATCACTCACATGAAAATCATGACCTGATGCATTCGCATTCATTTTGCAACGTCCTTTACCTTGAGAACAACGTTAAAACGAAAAAATGTGCCATGCTAACAATAGAACTGATCAAAATCAATTGGAAAATACCGGTTCGATATAGCAATTCGCTATAATTTTATTGTGCATTTACTATCGATAAGCCAGCCATGAGCATCGTTGAGATAGCGCGATTTTCATAATCCGCCGGAAATTTTACTTTAACACACTTTTTTATTTCATTTTATTATGGCACCTCGCATACGCGCGCTGTCAATGAGTGCTAATGTTCTCAAACCAAAACGAACGTAATCTAATCGCAACCTACACGGGTCGTACCTGCTCTTATACATACTTATCATGTGAGGGCGTGTGTTATCATCATAATATTTTAGTATTTATATCTGTAAGTTGTGTAAAGGCTAGACTTTTCATAAAATCTTAAATTCAGTTATCAATTGTAGCATATTGAATTGAAAACTCATATTAATTAATGCGTATATAAGTTTATATGCTCGTAATGAATGAAAAATGTTTGAATTTCAATAAAGCGCTATCGGCTTCGATTAATAGCGATTACGAGCGATGCCGGAGAGGGATATTATAAATGAAGGTCGTATCGATATTGCGTTTTAATTTGCCATACTGACACTAGGCGTACGTGCACACCACATCATCTGTGCAACAATAAATATAAGTAATTTTTAAAGCAGATGATAACAATGATAAAATTCCACAATCATAGGTTCAAAGATAACTATGTTCTAAAAATTAAAACCAACTAATAAACTGTTGTTTACCTTTATAAACAATCAATTATTAAAATAATTCATTTAATATTTCTAAGTGTGATTAAAAAATATTGAATATAGATGAACTAATTTAAGCGCTTATTTATTGACACACTATTCCCATCCATTCGGTATATTCCTACGTGTGAATGTTTATCAAAAACACGCACGGAATATTTCTCGATACGGTCGCGTCGCACTCATTGATAACACTGTTTACCAATTGCGTCATCGAGAAGGTTGCGCCGCGCTGTTTACTGATCAAATTCGACGCGCGCGCTGCATTCGGATGCGGTGCGTGCAAGACGATTTTCGGAAATTTTGAATAATTGCTAATCAAGCATTTCAATTTCCTCACGGCGCAAAGGTGGTGACTAAACGCAATGACAGTGTGTGCAGCGTCAGTGCGTCGTCTTGCGATTACATGTATTACAGGCGCGCACCGAGCACGTAACGAGCCTCGCGCCTTGTTAATTAATTGACGTTGAACTCGACGGCAGCGAACAATGGCGCGATGTCTTCGAAAGTGCGCGACGGTCAAGTTTCAAGGATAAATGGTGTTGCATAAGATGCACTCAAGATTTGTTGAACACTTTTTATTTACTCAAATCGCTAAAACAAGAATAGACTATAGATCCTAAATTAGTTGAATCAAAAGCAGAGGAAAATAGTTCTCATTTATTAAGTGAATATAAATGGAGCGATTACAGGTGGAGGTAATAGTATGTAATTAGAACTGTCTCTTTAGTTCAGAATATAAAAAGAATCGAAACAATAACATATGGTAAAAGAGTCTAAAATAGTCTTACAGTCACCAATAATAAGTTTAAATACTAATTCTATAAAAATGGGAAATCCTGCAAGATAATTGACTAAACATGTAAAATCTATCAATTTGTGGTTCTCAGGTGGTATAACATATAGTTTTAGTAATTTCTGCAAATTTAACACTTCTTACTATAATAAAACACAACATTTTTATGTGTTTCTCAAACATTGTCACTATTCTTGCTAATATTGAAGCAAAAACTATATTTTGTTCATCAATAACTTTAAATTTTAACTAATTACTCCGCTCTAAACAACAGGGAAGTACAAAAGAGGATATGCATGTCAAAATACATATTTTACATTGATAACACGTGAAAAATATGCAGTCTGGAACAAACACATATCAAAGAAATGATTTACACAAAAATAATAACTAATTTAATAGTCTTGTTATGAACCAAATGTGCATATAACAATAGTCTAGCAAATTGTTTGTTTATACAACAAAATATTGACAGTTTTAACCTCATATATAACCTTTTTTCATTTCTACTTGAAATATTTTAAATAGATTGATTTTAAAAGCTAATAAATCAATACAAATATATGAAAAGTATTAAACTTTTATTTTAAACTTATAAACTAAGTATTTAATTAATAAAACGTGTTGTTTACACTTCTAACTCAAAAATCATAAAACTTTGCACACTTTTTTAAAATAATTGAGTCTGATTAAATGTTACGTTTCCCGATTGGCTTAAATCATAATTATGTCCCTCGTGCACTTAATTTGTATGCTTGTAGCTACTTAGTAACAATGGTATCAAGTCGGTCAGGAATCGTACTTAGATGCGTGCGCAACCATGACCTATGAATGCGACGCGCCAAAATGTTCAAGTGCGACCATAGTCCGACCCGAATGTGACTCATTGCCTATATGCAATTGCGCAATCAAACCGAATGAAAAAATAATAATTTTGATCGAAAAAAAATCCTGATTCTCCCTGCGAAATAATATGTGCAAAACACTTTTAATTTTTATATTGCGTCGTATACCGTGAGTGCGCAAAGGCTGACGCAGTTGCTGTAGAAAGTAATAAACAAGTCGGTTAGTAATTGCAACATTTTAATACGGTTTTCATTCAGTGTCGTCGAGTTCACGCACAATAACAACTAGCGTACATGAAAAAAAAAACATAATAAATTCCATATTACTGAATGAAACACGTGTTTCAATTTTTGCAAAGCGAAAAACTTGATGGAATGTTCTTGTCATTATAAAATCCACTAGAACTTGTTTTTTTACGCGGTAACAATGCGTTTTGAATTTTAATGACAACAAGCAAATCGTTAAGGGTGTGTATTTTTCTTGTTTTAATTGTGTACCACAAACAAATCGAAATATTTTCGCCGAATTTTTGTTGTTTGATAAGCGCGCAAGTGACAAAAAACGTAAACACTAATACAATTGTGGCGTAGTAGCTGCGGTATTTCCAACTCCCAAAACAGCACGTTTGTTTATTTACATCTCGGTGTCGTTTTCGCACCTCCTCCTCGGCCGAATCTAGCCACTAGGAAGTCCAATTTTATACGCTCATCTATATATGCGCACCGTGATATCCAACGGCGTAATACCGCAGCACAAATGAATTTAACCAAAATTTTAACTAGTACGTACCTTCCATCCAGCTGAGCTGTTACTATCACCCTTATCCTTGAAGTAAGGAACATTCTGCACCATCCACTCATAGATCTGCGAGAGGGTGAGCCGCTTGTCTGGCGAGGAAGTGATCGCCTGTGTGATGAGGTCCGCATAGCTCAGATTGCCCCATGCGTTCCGACGACTCGAGTTCTTCTTAGCGGCGGCAGCGGCGGCCGCCGACGTGGGCGCGCCGCACGGGCCCGCAATCGGCAACCCGCCGGCGCACTTGTTGCCCGCCTCGCCGTCCGGCTCCACGTAATTCTCGGGTCGCGGCTGTGGCCACGTGTTCGAACGCGCGCGCGCTTGCGGCTCGAAACCGCCGTCCAATTCCGCGAGCGGTTCCATGATCGACATGTTCATCTTCTGCACCGACCACTCTTCGTATCCGCTATCCATGGATACCACGCTTGAGTCACTGTTCGCACACAGCACGCGCAAATTAGCACCAAATATCACCGGGGGCGGCGGCGTGTACGAATTCACATCCAATAATAAGTTTCACTTTTGCGCAAAGTTTCAATTCAAAAGTTGTTGCAGTTCAAAAGTCATCGTATCCGTCTCGCGTTGCACACATGCGGTTCCTGGCAGTCGGCAGAGTCCACTCGCTCTGCTGTCGTCGACGTCAGTTCGGTTCGACGGTGATAAGACGGCAAAGTTCAGACGATAGCGCGGACGCGCGACTTGCGGCTGTGATCGCTGATGTTTTCGATGCTCGGCGAGCGCATATCACGCTCATCACTAAGTATACATACACTTGATGCGCGCACTAAATATCGTCAGCTATAGAAAAAGTGTCCAAATCCTTTTTGTTCAGAGCACACAGCGCGAATTTTAACTTCGTTGACAGCGCTAGAGAAACACGTCGAAATGAGTTTGATAACACGCGTTCGACTTCTGCGACGTTTGCGACGTGCGCTCGCGTTACGTGAGTAGCTCGCTGCGAGTTCTCGCTGTGCGGACGGCAGCGCGCTGACTATTGCGAGGCAGCGCGCGGCGAGTGCGTTGGAGGACGCGCGCGAGAGTGGTGGCCCCTGCGCGCCCCGCCCGCACCGCACGGATCCTATCCGCGCGTATTACTTATCGCGGCCGAGTCTCGGTGCGATGTTGCTACTTGGCGCCACGCATTCACTGGTGGCTTCGTAATTGTAGCACGCATCGCACGCACGTGACAGCGCCGGCCATGCGAGGCGCGTTAATTACTACCACCTATTAATTCTATCAGGTCGTCCGAAAAATGGACGCGAGCGGACGAACCAACATATAATCCTAATGCAGAACAAGTTAATTTGAATATTATCACAGAATCATAGTAAGTATAGTGTCACCTTGAAATATATTCAAATATTTAATTCCCAAAGTAACATTTAGGATTAAATATTGTAATAATTATAATTACTTGAGTCTAAAACTAGTTTTTAAATAGTCATTTTTGAAAAAAATTAAAATTGCAACTCTTTGAAAGTTTTGGTCATTGTGTTGAGTTTACAAATGTGTTCGGCCCATTTCATCTTGGTAAGACGTTTTGCATGTAACATTGTGTCGCCGTAGAGCCCCGCCTGCTTGAGTCCGCCACCCGCTGCGCGTACTTCCACCCCGGCTACCTGCCAGCATCCGCGCTACACATAAATACTGCCAAAAAGTAGGTAACAAACGCGGTAGTTTCGCCATAAAAGAGGTAAAAAGATGCAAAAGTTAATCTAACGCTCCGCACATATTCCCATCTTTGCGACGCCACGTCGGCGGCAGCAGCGGCGGCTATTTAGATAAAATACTTGAAACAAGCGCGCGAAGAAGCGCGCGCGTTGCGAATTCCGGTAATGGGTTCGCCCGCAATACGTCTTCATTTATGTCCGAAATTGAAATAAAGTTATAGAGCAAGTTCGGGATAGTCGACCTGCTAGGGGTGCGAATGGGAGGCGGCGGATGCTAGCGCTGGCGTTTTCGAACTTTCTTTATGTACTCGCCACCGCCGCCGCCAGAAAGATGCCATAACTGCCGACGACGGTGCGTCGCTCTGCCTCGGTGTCGTTACAGGAACGGAAAACGACTTAGGGGTGGGTCTTATTGGATTATCGCGATCTGTCGAAATTGAACGGTTATCTAATCCAACTACAATCAATTCATAAACTCAATCAAATATTTTAGAAATATTTTTGCCACTTTTGTACGTATTTTCTAGATTCACGCTTTTTTAATGCAATATCCTAACTCATTTCAACCCTAATCAAAAATACATTGGTGTATTATTCTATTCTATGCTAGTGTGGTGCGTGGCCTTCGAAGACAAGGGCCTTTTCTCTTTCCTTTAGCCGTGGTGCAAGATTTATCGTCCGAAAATTAACCGCGCAGATCTCGCGTGCTTCGCGGGGGCGGCATGAAAAACCAGGCGGTCAGTAAGTCAGCAAGCACCTAATTGCATATGATATATCGTCCGGTCCACTCCGCCGGCGACTACAACTCCAATCCGAAGATATCCCCGAAAGAAGTGAGGGCGAAGAAAGTAAGTGGCTTTTAGTCCATCGCTCGACAATGAAACGTGTCGGAGATTTATGAGGAGAATCCCTGTTATTGTTTTATTTATCGTCGGCCTAGGAATGTGGACTTTCCGTCGTTATGTGTCGCGTGATTTATTTGCGAAACTGCTGATTATTCTGTGAACTATGATTAGTGCGACTGAAAAAAATTGAACAGACAAAAATAAATTTTAGATATTTTGTAATACTTCGATGTAACATGAAACATCGCAATACTTACAGGAGTTGGAGGGGCAGCAAAAAAAGAACGCTTGCGTAACGATGGCGCGCCGACGATAAACTGCCGAACAAATCGCTTAATTCATTAGCACAAAAACCTAATCCATAAAATAAATCCACTTAAGCATAACTCACACTAACATACGCGAGAAAACGCGGGGGCGGCGAGCGTGTTGTGCGCCGTGCGCCGGACCGGCCGACGTGGCGCTGATTTATCGCCGCCGGTATTCAATTTACGGGCCAATTTGTGTCGAGTAGATTTAGCGATCGGATCCGCGCGCCGCATCTCCGAAAGAGTTCGCAGTTCGCGCGCGTTTCGGGGGTGGCGGCGCTAATAGCTTTCACGACCGTGCTAAGGGGGTTAACACATCGTGTGAAGCCGAGCACTTGAAGCCGACCAATCTTGCCGATTGCCTCGGACGACACGGCGGGTCGTTCTTTGCCGCCGCCAGCCGCCGCCAACACGGCCAGTAACGTTTACGCTACACTTTTAATTCGATTTAGTGTTTTGCAGCGCAACGACTCTGTTGAGCGGCTGGTAATGAACGGCTTCCAACGGTGGAAACGGAAAAAGGACCTATAAGTGAACCATCGGAAGCGGCAATTAATTCAAGCTGTTAATAGGTGTTAGGCTGTAAAAAAAGAATTCCAGTCAAAATACAAATGAATGTGTTGACAACGTATTCTATTTTTTTTTTAAATTTTATTGAAGAGTTTTAATAAAAAATGAAAACGTGTTAATGATTTTTTCTTAATCAACATGCGGAAACTTATTTTCCATGCCATCGTCGAATAAAATATTAACCACCAATACATTATCCTGTTTTTCATTATCATTAGTATCCTCATTTTCACTTTGCTCGAACCACCGAAAACTTTCCAGAACATAAAAACACATTCAATTCTATTACCTTTATTATTTCTTTTCAAGTTACTTTCCCTAATTCACATTGCTTCCCTGCTTTCATACTTCGCTAGTTTAGTTTGCCTTTTAAGCAACAGTATCATTAACACTGACTAACTTTTAGGGCGTCCATTCAACATCAAATCAATCCCGGCAGAATTATGACTACTTTTAGTCGCGTTCCTTAACTTGCTTTAGTTTCAGGATAGTTTGAAAGCAGTAAATTACGAATTCATATCAAATGAAACGCATAACTGGCATACAATGTGCTACAATTATATTTTATTGATATGATACTATGACTTCTTGATTTTACTACAATGATATAATCAATAAAAACAACTATAAACTCCAAAGCGTGTGGAGAAGTGTAATAAAAATTCGACGCGGTAAATTATTAAGTATACGGCAATTATACCAGTAGAACTCGCAAAAATGCAGCATATAATCGTGCAATATACCTACTACTTTTGAGAAGTTTACGGAGGTAATTTTATAGTTTTTATCGCCAGACGAAATTTTGAAATGAAATCGGTAACATACAATATCATTTTATAAAGTTTGTGTCATTGTTGCAAATGCTATTAAAATTTCAATAATATATCTTAAAACAAAATTTTATTGTGATTCATTAATATTCATATAAGTAAACCGAATCAAAGGAATCATTTTAGTAGGATTTGACCTTACAGCGCCATCTAACAAAACAGGATAAACATTCAACATCCCGACACAGTTTTCTCTTCTTGAGAAATTGATCAATGTTAAATTTCGATTCTTGCTTTTTATCAACGACGTAATAATGTAATTAAACTAGCACCAACAAAGATAACAAAGAACAAGACCTGAATAAAGAACAACTTGTCAGTGAACCACGTTTTCCTGTCTCGAATCCGAAAGCATTTCATCTTAGCCAGATATAAAAATGCCACCCCAAACTGAGACAAATCCGAAATCAGAAAACCTAAATCTCGCAATACCTGAAAGTTTTTTGTAACAGCAAATTAGATTTAAGTTGTAGATAAAATACTTACCCTGTGCAAACTTCCTTTAGCCAAAATTACGTTCACGAAAAAATTATCTACCCCGGAAACACATATGTGTACTACGCTAATTGCCATTATCAATAGTAATTTAAACGGTCGTAATTGCTTATTCCTATTTATAAGATTCAGCACAATTGAAGTGGAAATAATCTCTGTGATAGTGAAGTAAAGCTGATGGTCCCATTGTTCGTAAAAGTGATCGTTGATGTAATTTATATACACCCACAAGGAATAATAGTGTGGGTATAAAGATGTAAAAAATAAAAGGAGCATAGAAAATCGGACACGGCCCGTCACGATCATTTCCGTGATGTACTTCATGCATTCATACAAGACGATAACACCGGTGAGCAGAAGAAGCCATATTTTCATCATATCAAAGGTGGAATTGAAATAAAACGTTTTGTATTTGCTGATACTGTTTTCGTACGGACCTAATAAATACAAAACAAATTATTACAATGCGAATAAGCATATTTATGCTTTATATTACCTTTAAAAACGGTATCCCAGCATTCGCAAGTACAACTAGCCTTATCCACTGGAAAGTGGTATTTTCCCCATAATTTCCACATAAGGAATATGTGAACCACTGGTATGGCAAACGCCACTAGGTAAGCGACTAATGAGGTGAATATTTGTAATCTCATTTTGTCTTTTAATTAATCTATCACAGGAATTAACTTAAACCATACTAGAAACTAAACGATTTGCTTCGAAACTGTTGCTAGACGCTCTGGCGAACACCTAGGAAATGCAACTTTTGCTAGTATTAATAGAAAATAGTAATTTTAGATGGCTAGGAGTTTTAAATACATCCAAGCCCAGTAATGCTAATGTGGTTTTCATGTAGGCAACCCAAATTACTTGCGTATGAACATCATATTTAATATAATAGCTTTACAATTAAACTACAAACTTATGTTTAAGTTCTCAACATAAATTGGCCTAGAGTTAATTGAATAGACTCAGGCTCCTTTGCACTGGAACCTTTAATAACCTTCACAGGTGGTAATTTTCGCAGTTTACGTCCATGTCTCCCACCCTTTCGTTGCCATAAACCCGATCGGGGCCTATTTCCCAATTCCCTATTTTTCTGTGCAGACCCAATAGGTGTGGAACCATGCTCTACATTTCCAATCCTACCCACAGTGCACATGCACTCTTGTGGCAAGGAAAATTCCTTTTTACTAGGCATTTTGATGACCACGTGATTATTTGGCGCTTTCCTCAAAATGGTGGCAAATGTTCCAGCTGCATGCACCAAGAATCCACCTAAACCTACATATTTCTCAATATTGTGTATTTTGGTACCAAGAGGAAGAGCTCCCAAGGGGTATGCATCACCTTCATTTGGCCTTACTAAAATATAAAAATATAGAATAAAGAGACAAATAAAACAGACATATTGTTAACAATGATATAAAAAATTTACCTGGAATTCTAGGTATGTGCATGGATGTTTTGATAATATCACCAGCTTTCATGTTTTCAGTTGCTAAAATATATTTGAGTTGATCTCCAACTGCAACTAAGGCAACATTTGCAGTACGATTGCCATCCTTGATGATTTTTATCACTCTCTCATCCTGTGGTGGACCTTCTTTTGGACCTTCTCTCTTCCATTGAATCCAATGATATTTGTGTTTAATGCCACCACCAATTCCTTTCACTGCTAATCGGCCTGTCACTGGATCTCTACCAGCCAAATTGGTAGTGTCCAAGGGCTTAACTGTATAATCTTCAGGAAAGTGAATGATTCGACGATATGCAATACCTGTACCAATTTCTGGTTTCACTACATACTTGTAGTTTCTGTATGAATTTGTAAAAACTGGTGTAACTGATGAGCTTCTAATGCATAAGCGTGATAACGCTGTTGATAAAGATGCCATTCTTATTACTTAAGGTGTAAGAATTAAAGAATTAAATCACTCGCGTAAAACATTACTTTCAGGTTATGTCAGCTGCGTTTGTGAACGCGCGCACGGCACGATGTAGGTATACCAAGTGTATATTTAGGAACGATGTTTTAATTTTGAGATTTAGTGCGGAACTGGTTTTATTCTGTAGATATATTGTACAACTTGTTATTGTCAATTTAATGTGTGTTATTATTCGATTCTGCAAAGCTATATTGCAGTTAATGTTGAATAATGTTACATATGAAAGCTTGTTCATTCTGCCCTTCATCGCAATGGCAATATAATGTAACTTTGCAAATGCTATACAATTTGATTGTAACATTTAATGTAAGGGCTACACTGACTTCTAAAAGAATTAAATTGAAAGTTATCATTTTGTTAAGTATTTGACATACTAAATATTAAAGATAATGCCTGTGATGAATACGATTATTAAACAGTTTTAAATTATAAGTAATTACATTTTCAAGTGTGTGACACAATTAAACCTTAAATACAAGACCTGCCACCAGTTTTGAACTAATTGATGAAATCTTAATAAGCGTTGCGTGCAATTAGCCATGAAATTGTAGACTTGCTAGTTTATTTCAAGTCAATTGAATAATTCGAATATAAAATTTGACCAAGTACTTGTGGTAATTAAATTAAAAATCTTAGTGTGGCGGCCTTCCTTGGATACATTACATTTTCAGCAAAGCCGTCATTTTATTATACAAATACACCATAAGGTGGACAAAGCAAATAGTAAAATTCGTGGATTTTGATGCTGGCGCCAAATCTTCAATAGGTCTCGCAAAAAGTTAAACCTAGGACAGTGTTAAAAACCAATTGGGTATTCCAAAAATAAAATATTACATTACATAAATTTGGCAGAACCCCGAGAACACCCCGAGATCCTGAAGATGTTTTTTCTTATGGCTTGTGAAATCTTCTGTAGAATCCTCTGCTAAGTAACCATTTCTTCAGACACCGTAATCCAAATAAAAACCACGATTAATGCAATGTTGTAAAGTTTAATTGTGGAATTTTCGGAAAATACTTAATTTAGAAGGTGGATTTTCATCGCTAGATGGAAAACGATAGGAAATTTGAAAGAACTATTGAAATCGCAAAATCGGTTCCCGAGATAAAGCCGAATTTTCACAGAAATTATGAAAAAAAATCATAAAATTAACAGTAATCAAATTGTATTATATATATCACTTTACTTAGGGTAAGTGAAACATGGAATTTAGTAAAAGTTAATACACATATTCACACATACTAAAACGTGTAGTGTGCAACAACCCGCGTACAGTGCAAGATCTGAACGCCATAACTTGTAACATTGATATTGATAAACGCGTAGAGACAAAAACGACAACAATTCTATTGTGTGTACCTAGTAATTTCACAATATTGAAATCTCCTCAAATGCGTACATACAAAAGACTATAAAATCCGATTACGAGACCCTTATATGGAAATAATGAATTATGAAAAATAAATTAGTAGTATTAATTCAATGCTAAACTTACCAGTGGAACGATGACGAACTGCAACTGATGTTTCATGCAGTTTTCAGCAAACACATGGCATACATTGTAATGACTGAACAAATTCAATTTTTCAAAAAAAACTTACATTATCCTTAAAAAATACATGAGGTACAAATTCAAATAATTAAACAAAGTAGTGTAGATATTTCGATGTATATTTTTTTGTACACTGACTTACAAACATTGTGTATGTGTATTACATATTAATTTCTTGTTCAACATTGAAAATGATCACACATTTATTAATATTAATATTATTTTTTGTTATTTTTAATATATCATAATATAATATAATCAATAAACAATAACGTCCCGCTATGAGATAAGTGAGAACACCATCATCATACTGACCGTTTACAAATCCAAAGTAAAACGAACGTAATCTTTGCCTTCTAACTTTACTCTTCTTGCTTGCTTTTTTGATCTTTTACATTGAGTTAAAATTATGTACATAGGACATTGTATAATGACCCATACAGATATTATCCTTCAAGGTTTTTCGTATTCTTTCTTATCATTGCTCTCATTCCGCGAACCTATCAATATAATGTAATCGTTAATTATTATAAAAACACACACAAAAATGTTACCATTATCACAATATCGTTTCCTGAACAGCACCAATGTTCATTTCATTATCAGTTTCAGTGTTAAGTTATAGTAATTTATTAGTTCTGCTGAGCAAGTTAATGCTGATTACCCATTCCAATTAATCATGTTCCGAACTATTCAAAAGGGTAATGTAAAATGAGTAAAGTCAAACTTATTGTCACTAGCGGAAAAATTGAATTTAATTATGGTTTTCGTTCACAACAGTGAGTAAGAAGTCGGACACCTAATACGATTACTATTACAGTACAGAGTAGATTAACATTTTTTTTCTTTGGGAAAAGTTTCGTCAAAACCGCTAGAGTGTATATTTGAAAAACACAAATCTAGTGCGTCCAACATTTCGCTTGAAAACTACTTTCTTAAATCGTTACACATTCACATTAATATCAAAAATTATCAAAATATCATTAATATCACAATTGCATTGAAAATCTGAAGTATTTACAAAGAAAACAAAGAAAATTTCAATCAAACGCTTAATAATATTACAACAGACCGTAACAAATCATAAAATTATTATAAACATGTGTACAATTCAAAACAAATATAAAATAAATAACACAGATGAACAGATAATAATTATACCTCAAATGTTAGAGCTTATAACAATATTTGTTGGTAGAAATAGAATAATACATATTCTTGTCAATCTAATTTAAAATAAACAGAATAATTACTTTCTGTTTTGTCTTTGTGTCAACATAAGAAGCTCACACATTTAGGGCACAACAAAAGTTTGAAATTGTTAATTGTGTCATGTCATCATCAATATTAAACTACAACGGTATTTAGATCCAGAAACAAATCGAAAAAGTGCTTACATTTATAGTTCTTAGATATTATATTAATAATAAGAGACACCGAAGAACGACACTTAGACATTTTGTTCGCATAAAATATTATAGGTTGAATTTTGTTCGAGAATTTCAACAGACAAAAAGCACCCTCATGTGCTTCGAAGGTGTAAATAATCTGTGTAAGTTTGATTAAGTCTATGCCCCTCCTATCTCATTAATTTACAGACGATACAATCATATTATTTCTTTGAAAATGTTTAAACCACAATTAATTGACAACATTGACCAAACTGCCAAGTTAAATAGACATTAAGTGAAATACTTTTAAAGTTTTACACAAATTTTACACCGTCAAATCAATCAGAAAACGCAAAATTTACAAGATTATTGAGAAATGATTATTATGCCTTAATAATTCGTTTCAGTCCCACAGTTTCCAACTACAAACATGTAAATTGCATAACATTTCATTAACCATTATTTCATTATTTGCACAATTTTTACTACTCGCATAACTTCTCTGTAACAGCACAACAATATCACCACGCATTGCATTTCGCGTTATTTTCACCGCAATCGTTTGCCATCTTCCTCATCTGCTTACATAACTACGTGTAGAGTTATTCAAAATCGAATCAATGTTTATTAATAATCGAATTACATACAATTAACTCTGGGCAAAATATATATTCTCTCCATTTGACTCCGCTTTACATTCAATAGTTTTCATTATTATTTTCTCGGTAATAAATATATTATTATCATAGTAATTTCCCTTACAGCATAAATTTCATTGCGCCTATACGTGTACGATTTCGTTTGTTTTTTCGTGTCGTTTTAAGTGTCTACAACACGTTTCGTTCGAACACCTTTTCGCAATGTTAATGTTAAATCTGGTTTAGCATGTATATCAATTTGTTAAATAGTAGGAACATGAATCCATAAATATATCTGTTTAAAATATGTACACGTTTAATAATCATAGATTTTAAAATGGATCGAATGTTGTCTCGGGGCCTTCGCATGGATGGATGATCCCATAATATTTCTCATTATAGATATATCGTAATGCATATCGAATAGTTTACGGAGAGAACAATTTGAACAACAATACACCTATGTCGTCTTTACTTGTTTATACATTAATAATTGGACAATTTCTTGTGTGTTTTAAAATTTGTTTTGAGTTTAGTTGAACGTTCTGGAAGGAATTAATGTTATCCGCAGGGAATTTTCATTTTGTTGGACTCGCTTGTCGATCGTTTATTTGTGTTAATGTTCATGAATGTGTGTATCACTAAAAAGGCACGTCATATGAAGAAGAATTACAATTATATAAAAACTATCCGTTCGTTTTATGACTCATCGTCTAGATGTCACCCATTTTGTATTCGGTTCTCACTTTAACATTCCTTAATCCTAGCTTGTTTAGACGAAGAAAAATATAAACTGTGTGATATTATGCTTATCTCTTATCTCTACTACAAACTGGCAATCAATCGAAGGTTAAATCAATATAAAAACCCAGCACTCTCGAAGAAGAAGTTCCTACTGTAAAATCAGTCTTTGTATGCCCCGTTTCAAATATATTTGAGAAAATATCACACGTCGTTAATCTAAATTCGCTCCTGGCCATCACAATGCGCGTCACTGACCTAATCTAACAATATGTAAATCAGTCTCACTCACAACCGCACCGTTTTCGTTTGCTTTAACTAAAATCAGTCCGTGAAAAGCAATCTTATCTCGCGCTATCGTATAATATCACACAGTAGAATTAAAAGTCGCTCCCTACAAACACTGTGAGCGAGTGGTACTAATTTAATAAAAAAATATGCAAAACTATAATATTGTTAGTCGGTAATCTCAAACGCCTAATCCTAAACACTTATATAATGAATTACCAAATTGCTCTTTTCGAAATGTGTGAATATTTCTGAATTGACTCCCATTTTATTCGAGGGTCGAGCGATTGCATCCGAAACATGAATTGTTTTGTATTGTTTTCAGTGTTTTTTGCTTGCATAAATTAAACTATGTAATAACTAAAAAGATTGATAACAATAGTTTGATTTTACGTTTAAAACTTGTTCTATGGCAAATATTGAGGTACATATGATTGTTGGAGCCTTGAGGCTAGCTTTAGTGTTAAAATTAAGAAGATTCATCCTCTTGATTTAGTCAAAACTCAATTATCTTCAACATTTCTTTGTTTTTCTTTTGACTAAATCAAGACGACAATATCCCTTAAGTTTTGTATAATATATAAATTTGTTCTTGCGTTACTGTAATTATTACTATTTCAACGGTTGTATAATATGCTGTATTTTTATAAATCAACAATAACAAATCCTGCTGTTAAACTATTGTTAGTTGGTTAGTCTGGTAGAAGTCTGGTTAGTATTCTGTACATAAAAATTCTGTATAAAAAATAATTCAATCCTATGTTTAATGTTAATATTTCTATTGCGCCCGATTAAAATTAATTCCTGTCGCGGCAGCAACGCAGTTCGATGTCGCTTAGCATTGATCAGTTTATTGCAGGTGTAATTGAGGTGTAATTCAAAGCGCCATAAACTTAGATTCATGACAGTTGAGTTTGTTTGTGTTGAGGTAAAAGTACGTTTGGCACGGCATTGAATCATAATAAATATTGTTTGATTTGAGTTAAACGTTAATCATTAATAATTTAATTAATTATTTGTTCGATGGTTCGGAATATCGACGGCGTAATTATTCGGACGCTCATTTTCTTCCTGTGTTCGTTTTTTTTGTTATCAATCGCTCAAGAAGGCATCGAGTATGCTTACACTTACACTTAGAAAATATATTCGATATTTAATAAGCTGACAATTTCGACGTATTTTTTGTCGACGACTCGTTGTAAGTACGTATCACATGCCTCGTTTCATTTCAATTGTCTTCATGTTTTACGGTTGCTCGTGAAATGACTAGCAGGAATATTAATTGTCACTGGTTTTTACATCTCTGAATTAATATTGTTTACAGCGAAAACATTTACGTCTGATGGATGTAATTATAATAAGTTAGTGGGCTTGCATGCCTGGATGCGTATTGTTTTCTCTTGTGTATTCGTTTTAATTTCGTCAATTTGTTCGTTTTGTTAAAATTGTATTGCTTGGTAACTCACTATGCAATATCAGTTTCACATTAGTAAAATATCAAAACTAAATACGTAATAATATGTATCTACTTCGTAATGTATAAGTATACTCGTCTTATATCGATAAAAAATTTCTGGCACATTTATGGTACCAAAAATATTAATAAAATTAATCGTACGTGTATAACAGAAGTCGTTAAAAAAAGTCTTGACTGAGATTCAAATATGTGAAACAGATATTTATAATATTTTCTGTTTGATTACATTTCTTGTTCGTTTTTGTTTTGTTTACTGTTTCTTGTTACATTGTTTACTTGTGTTTTTATTAATCACAGCCGAAATTAGTTTTTAATTGCGTTAAATTTCCCAATTTTGCCAACCCCAATTAGTTTTTGTTAGTTATTAATTCGAAAAAGGACGGAAACAAGTAGAATATTTATACTCAACATACAAACCGTCCCCAAAACGTGTTTATAAATTTTCGGCGGATTTGCGTTCTGGAAAAATCCTTGATGAATTAATCAAATGGCATCAAATGAATGGTAGTCGTTTCGGGGCCCTTTATTCACTTAAAGGGCCCTATATCAGCGAGGCGTGTTGATGTGCGTCGTCAGATGCTTGGACAGATAATCAGCCCTGGCAAAGCATTTGCCACACATGTCGCAATGATAGGGACGCTCGCCAGTGTGAATGCGCAGGTGGCGAGTAAGGTCGGACTTGCCTCCGAAAGCTCTCCCACAGAAGAGACACACAAAGGGACGTTCGCCGGTGTGTTTACGCACATGGAGTTTGAGATTCTCCTTGGAGCGTACGCACTTACCGCAGAAAGGGCAAGCGAAACGACGCTCTCGTTGACGTTCGGCCGCATCGGCGCGGAGGAAGCTCAAAATGGACGCTTCTTGAGCAGAGCGGAAGGCTTCCGAAGAGCTGGCGGGCAGAGTTGAAAGAGAGAACGAGTCGATGGTATCATCCTGTTCAGCTTCCCCTTCTGCATCAGCTTCATTCTCAGCTGGTTCAGAAGGTTCGGCAATTTCATCAGACATGGTCTCCTGCTTGATGACCACCTCTACATCTACGTCCACTTCATGGGCGGTATCTTGATCTTCGACGGGAAGAGTTTCGTTGGACGATGACACCTGGTCACTGCTGTTTTCTACCATGGGCGGCATGATATCTCGTATAATCGTTGAATCCAACACATTGGTTCTCTCCCTGTGGGTATTCTCCCTCTCCCTTTCTAAAGCACCCATAGCTTCAGAACTTTTTCCATGAAGACGTTCCAAAGCGTGATTCAAACGATGCTTCTTGAATGACTTCAAGTACCGGAATTGCATGCCGCAGACATCGCAAGAAAACAATTTATCTGCAGGGAGCCTAGCACGATGATTTTGTTCGCGGTGCTTAACGTAAGCTGAGCGGTACCGATAGCTTTGTCCACACTGTTCGCAGACGAAGGGTTTGTCAATCGAGGTCAGGGAGCCAATGTGTTGGAGGGCGGTGTGCTGCTCGAGAAGCCAGATTGACGGAAAAGCCGCCATGCAAGCGGTGCAGCGAAACATCTCTTCGCCGATCAGTGCAGGATGCATTAGGCCTACTTCAAGCAGGGAGGTAGCCAAAGAAGCGTATGGCAGACCAAATGGGGTTGAGGAGCGCGAAGAATGAGCCGAAGCCGGACGATCCAAACATGGAGAACTGAAACACCTTTCAACTTCGACTACCGACATCTGAAACATGAAATTTAAAAATTAGTTCAATCGGTGCCACATTTCCTACGAAAATAAGTTAAGGTCATTCGTAAAATATAATTAGTATAATTTTTCATCAGGTTTTATTTGTCAAAATCTTATTTTTATACAACTATGATATGCATTTTGTTTAAAACAATAAGCATAATGTTTTGCAGTTTCTCGTCGTTACAAATTCAGGGTTTCAGTAATCCATGGCAAACAATAAATACAACAAATATTCATAGAATCTCGTCTACTTCTCCGCACACATCCTCAATTCTCTATAAACATGTAACATTTCCTCCAGACAAAACTTAATCATTTGAACATAAATTTACAACACCGTGCCAGTGAATCATTGATTATAAATTATTATTTTCTTTTCAATTACAGCTTCAACTAATGATACAAGCGACGAACTCGAAAGGGATCTCCATTATACATGCGTGTATTCAATAATTGTATTCTCATTCGTGAGAGCAGAACCATAACGAAAATTAGTTTCTTGCAACAATTGAATATGAAAAGTTCTCGTGCAATAAACGTTAATATTGTTAATAGAGGGTAACTATGCATCTGATCTCCAACATCTTCACTAACAGCAGGAATCCTAATCGAGCGTCCTCTCCGTAATCCTGCACTGAAAGCTACTACAAGATTGCCTACGTTTTCGCTCAACTAAGTAAGATCATAATCGTTTTTTTATAATCATTGCAGACTTAAACTTAATCTGTTTAATCAGCTTTTATGTTTAATGTCCTTATGTTCAGAGTCGGTACTTATCATTTAGCTTTATTGGTTTATTAATACATTTATATTGCTATCGTTTGCTTGTTTGTTGCTTGATTTGTGTCAATCATCGTGTGGTAAGATATCGTCGTTATATTACCGGTTTAATTCAATAATTAACAGGAACTGTAGATGAATAAATATATCGCTTGCTTGAAAGAAGGACTTGACATCTACAACCAAACTATCAGTTAAATTAATGAGAATCTTTATTGTTATGTAACCTCTAGAAAACATAAATTCGTATAAACAAAACAAACGTATACTTTGTATGCAGGTAATAAAAGTGTTGTCGCGTATCATTAAACAAATTCATAGTATCAATTAAACATAACCTCGATCGAGTGCTAGAACTTCACCTTTGAATTACTTTAACTTAGTTGATGATGCGTCGTAAAATACTACAGGAACATGGGAGTTTAAACTTAATCGTTAACGATACTAGTTCATCAAGTCGTCCTTTCACAAAACATCAGCCGGCTTAAATCGCAACGAATGTTTAGTCAAAATCGGTAGTTGGCACTCAATCATATCGTAATTAATAGATCATTAATCGATCGTTAGATCATTACAGACGTAATTAATTGCTACACGTACGTGCTGCGCCTGTAAATCATACATTTCCGCGTTCCCGCTTTATTCGCTATTGTAACATGGAAAACATAAAAATTACCGGTTTCTCGGTCGCTCTGCGTCTCGGCGTGTGTTTGCTAATTGCATTATGCATCATGCGTTACCAGTTCTATAGGTCAGATCAAATCAAAGAACGCAACCGTTTTGAGTGATTAAACCATTGAGGCGATTGAAATACGTCGTGTGCACGTTACTTAATGGCGTTTTCATAAAAAAAGGATGCAGGTAAATGTCGTCGGCATATCAAAGGCGATTAATTCATGCAAGTATACGTGTGTGTATACAAAACGGTAATCGTAACATTCGACATTTGTTTCTATATTCTTATTTGTATATAAGTATTGTATCAATTATTGCATTATTGTTACCCGGTTCGGTTTCTGTGGAATTATGTGTGAGTGCATTTGCAGGTAGAAAAACTTTATATCGGCGGCGCTACTAGAATATATTCGTCAGTATACTATTATCACGTTGAGTCTGCTTAACAATACTGTATCTATCGAGTCGGTGTGAGCAAATCGGTTTGGTATTATTGTATTACTTACATGTAAGGAGTTACTGTTTTAATCATCAGGGGGTTTTCATAAGCAACGTGCGCACGACATAAATCCGAACACCTCAAAGTGACTTTATAAACATTTTATCCATCAATTGATCTTGCAAAACAAAACGTATTATTGTATTTAAAAATTCTGGATTTCTATTGAATATATGTATTGATATTGGAAGTGAGTGGCCCTGAGCTACCATGTCCGTTTACTACTAATCAACACTGATAACAAAAAATACAACAATTTCCTTTGATACTAAACACAAATTCATTCGCAAAAAGTACTATTATGTGCAATATTAAATCATGCTTTGTTTCATTTTTTTAAATTTTGTCGTGGTTATTTATATTTCGAATCAATTTTGTTCATTTGCAAGAGAACACGAGTCATCATCGGTCCTTTGGCACAAAATAAATTTTTCCTAACGCAATTTTGAGCAAACAATAGATTATATTTTTCCAATTGGTAATTTGAAACACGTTCGTGTTCATCACAGACTTATACAGACTTCATCTGCATCTTTTATTTATGTCTAATTGAGAAAATCTACAATGCCAATTTTAAATTGTTCACAGTTTTTGTATCGCCTAATGTAAATTTTAGTTAACAAATATCAAATAGCCAATTGGTTTAATAATTCGAATTCGAAAGGCAGCTTTTTCAGTCAAATAGTTCTTAAAATCCATAGTATCATTATACATCTCTATGAGATATAATATTTTCTGCTCCTTAAAGTGTTTTAAAAATATGTACAATTGCGCAAACATTATTCGCTCCGCTAAACATCCTTCATTTTCTCCATTCTCACTAACACTGCCTTTGCACATTTTGGAATTTTACACGCGAATTAAATTTTAGAGTAACTCGCAATTACTTGATACGACTGCGTCGCAATTATTTTAAAATTTCACAATAAATTTGACAGGTTCAGCACCTTTTCATCGTTTTTGTAGTCTGTGAGAGATAGAACTTTATCGCCAATTATTTTCGCTAGTGTGATGACTCGTAATGTTTAGTGTTTTAACACTAATCTTAATATTTCTCAGATGACAATCGTCCATACATGTGTTTTGGTAGTCTTGTAAAACAGACTTGTTCCTCAAATTATAAAAGTCTTATCGAGAGGCACTCCGGTTGCTGCATTTAATATTCAGTAAGTAATATTTTCTCATATTTTACTTACAGGTAGAGCTATGTGATTCCAATTCTTAGTATTTTTACAAACGAAAAAGCAACTTATTACTTTCGCAAACTAATTGATGCATTGATCTATGTGAACCTTTAAAATTTACGATTTCTATTTCATATCATCGAGTGTTCTTCGACTTTACAATATGTACACAATTATTTTTCATCGTTTCGTTCTGCATTTGTTGTGTGATTGACAATATTTTGTTTTTCGATTATTTTTTTACACCTCGTTTGAAAATTGTCAATTGCCATTTGTTATTGGGCGCGCATTTATTTACTTCACTCGTCATCTTCTCATATGTATTAATAGTTGTATATAATATATAATATAATAATATATTCTCTCTATTAAAAATATTATAAATATACTCTCTCACGTATATATTAAGTATAGGAAACAAAAAGTATAGTTATCGAATATATAATATATAATTCTTACACGACTACCAAGTGGTGGTGGTGGTGATGGTGGATTTAGTGTGTGTGTGTCTTGTATTTCCGAATAACATTCGTTTATCTCAACAGATGAACATTTACGTTTTAAATTTATTCTTGACCGGCGGATGTGTAAACGTGTTTATTACAAGTCTATGGTGCTGATAATAGATATCATCATTATTATATATTAATATATATCACTAGCGTTTAATTAGTAAATAATTATTCATCTTAATATGTAGTAATATGTATATGTTTGTTATCAGTATCGGTTCGAGAATGACGCGCGTGTGATTTCAAAGATTTACTAGAAGATTTGCTTTGCTCTGCAGTGATTTCATCGTGATATATGCATTATGTAATATTCTAGATACGCTTGCTTTTTTGTGTGGTAGGTATAAACTTTTATAAGAACTTTATAATCTCTCGCCTCGCAGTTCGCTTCATTTCTTTATTATTAATTATTGCTATAATTTGCTTTGTCGTGGGATTTATATTAGTATGCAGACGATAAAAAAACAAACAAGTCGTACTTAAAAATTCTCTCTAATCATAGACAATTAAACATAAAAACTTAAGAAAAACATAAACAGAAACAAGAACAAAAGAACAAGAAACAAGATATATATCAACTCGACGGATTCGCATCAAATGATTACATGTGTGTCAACCTGCTGTGAATAATACTGCCCGACATGTTGTTTGACGCGCGTTAAATTAAGAACTGAAATCTACCCTCCAATTGGAATGCATAGATGCGCTCGAATCTAAAGATATTGTGAACATATATTAAACTACCGGCGTGTGTAATCAGCTATCATCAGGTGAGTTGAATTAGTACTCATAGTCATAGTCAAAGAGTGCACGTATTTAGAGTCGCGTCGTCTGCTAAACAAATCGAATCGAATCAAATCAATCAGCCTCGCGAAGACTTCTCAAGCATCGAAAATCGACTGAAAACTTCTTCTCTCACTTCATTCGCACCATCGTTTGCCATCGCAATTTTCTGCCTAAATAAAACACTTACTTAACATCTCTGTCTCTCTGTTAACATCTTACGGCATTATCAATTATTACTATAGTTCATTAATGTTTATAATATTCAATAAGTTAATTAAGGTTCTATCACAGCTCTTACAAATGTTTCTCTTAAATATTTGTGTTTGCTTCATCAATTTAACTCTTCTGCACTGAATTCTATAACGTTTTTTTTTTCTTACTTGTTGTTTACTTGTTTATACATGTTTATTCTGCGTGTTGGGGGTGAGTGGGTGTGTGTTTTGCCTACTGGTTACATATTCATACATACGCAGCGTGTGTGATTGTGTTGAGATTATTTTCAAACTCGGGCTAATCGAGTCTTGAGTGTTGCACGTTTATTAATTCATAGCTGCCGCAAAGAGGGTAATACACATAAGTGTAGTGTAACGATCAAAACCGCTCAGAAGCCAAATTATGTATAAAGTACTAATTAATTATTTAAAAAACAGAAAGCGGAATAATGATTTAATACGAAGTCGATTATGTATTTGAATGCTGATTATTATTTTGCGGAAGAAGACATGAAAATAAAAATGTCGCAATTTTAAAACAATGGTTAAGAATTCAAATTTAACGCCGGGTTGTTTTGATATCTATACTACACTTATGTTTGTGATTGCTAACGCGATTTATGTCTAATTATTTATTTGTGAGCAGAAAAATCATCAAAACGCATCTTCCATCAATCAACTATAATTTACTACTCAATTTTTTACCACTTCAAGATCAATTTTCATGATTTTTCTTCATATGATTTCATTCATTACTCTTCCCTATCATGAACACTATAAAAATGTATTTATTGTTTGTTGTGGAATAAAATTAACCGGTGTGTATGCTTTCTCAGTTTTCCGTATGTATAATTAGCTAATATTTTACACAAAGCCCTCAAAACTACGTTTCAAAGCGTCATTATAATTCAATTTATGTCAACGTGTTTGTCCCGCCGGCGCAGCGCTAGGCGCGTGCTCCCATCCATTGTATTGATAACGAAAACGAAGCTCCGTAATCATCATTGTTTTATATATAATATATAATAACATTATATGTATATTATCATCACGATCATCAGTCTAAGGAACTATAAATGTGTTGTATAATTAAATATCTTCTCGCCGGGCGCGTCGACCGCGCGTCCGCACAATCGCAAATATTTACAAATAGCATTTCAGTATGAAGTAATAATCGTTTATTATTACTAAATCAATTAGTGATCATGTCAGCAACGATTCGTCGCACCAGCAGGTTTAAAAGTCTGATTCAGAGTTTGCGGGATTCACTGCCTGAGCCACCAGAAGAGGTCCGCAGGGCGGAGGTGGGCGCTGTGCTAGTGCGGACTCTCCTCTTCGGTGTCTAGCGGGCTGGGGGAGAGGAACTTGCGCACATACTTCGGGTAGTGCGTCTTCTCGTGCGCCTTGAGGATGGTGGAACGCGAGAACGTCTTGCCACAGAGTGTACACCGAAAGGGCCGTTCACCAGTATGCACCCGGCAATGGTCCTTCATGTGATGGCGCAGCTTGAAAGCCTTGCCGCAGAACTCGCACTTGAACGGCCGGTCGCCAGTGTGCACCGGCAGATGAGTAATGAGCGACGACACGTCCGGAAACGATTTGCCGCAGAATTTACACAGCACCACACCAGGTCCATCGGCGCTTAACTCTAGGTCCATGGGTGTAGGATGGCCTCCGTCACCAAGCCCCAGCCCATCGGGTGGGTCATGATGAAGGCCGATGGTAGGACGCGGCACACCGCCGCTGAAGTCTAACAGGGACGATTCAGCCATCAGCGCACAATGTGGCAACTGGTGTTGTTGCTCCCGGTATTTGAGGCTCTCCAGCGAGTGGGAGAGGATGTGCCGGGTGAGCTTGCTCTGATGCTGGAACGTCGTGCCGCAGTACATGCACGAATACACACGCGGCGAGCCGGCTGCCTCCCTGCCATCCAGATCCTGCAACCAAACAACAGCGACATCAACTTCTTGTGCATTTTGTTTTGCCTTTATTTCTGACTAATTGCTTTCTTTTTTGCAAAATTTGCGACTTTCGTGGCTTCGCGCTACTACCCTGTAACACTACAAGAAGTTGACGCTCATTTGTTTGGCTGGAGAAAAAGGATGTCTGCAGTAGTGCTGCGCCCTAGTGACTTTTACAACGTTTCTTTTTTGCACGTAACGAGACAAACACGTTCCGCGGTAATTTTGAGTAAAGTAAGATCGAAAAATAAACATCCTAAGCCAAAATATGATTGTCAACTTCTTGACAGCGCGCACATCTTTAACATCACCGCTGACGCCAATATCAATCTACGTTTCCACTCAGATCGATTGCCCATTCCAAATCAACCAGCAATGTTTACAGAAAAATAATAAATTGCAGCCTACAGGAAATCATATAAAAATATAGAAGCAAGTTGATTGCTAGAATCGTGATTAAACGTGTTTGATGTGTTTGTTGTTTGCAGCGTTGGTAACAAATGGTTTAATTAGCAATAAATTGTGCGCGTGATATGTATCCAGACGGGTGTTTCAACGAAAATGGAAATGGAACAATTAGAATACTTCCAATTGAAGAGTTCTTGGGTAGCACTTGATTTAATTGTTACACTTTACGTGGCATTCATTCTCTCCACATAAATAAAACTAAACTACATTAAATTATGTGTTGCGTATGTGTCTACTACTTTTCTTAGTTTCAAATCAAATTTGTTTACGGTTGATATCAAAAGTGTTACTTACAGGATCGTGCGAATGCCTGGGATAATCCGATGAGCTTTCGCCTGTGCTTTTATCATCTGCAAGCCCGCCGCCTCCACCACCTGAACCACCGCCGCCCCAGTCCACTTCCTTTTTCAGCGACTGAAACAAATTGAAAAAATACTAATTATCGCATGACTTGTTTCCTTAGCTTGGCCTATTAAAGAACATAATTTACAAATTAAATATTTTTACAGTAATTATAGAAAAAAAGAATCATAAATTGTCTTAAAATTAGTTTTAAAGTCGGGAGTACAAATTTCCCATCGGAATAATGGCAATGAAATCACGAAATTGTCAATCACGTGTTGATTTGTTCATTAATGGCTTTATTTCCGTAGTAAAAAATGATCGGTAGGTTGAAAAAGCCGAAAATTCGGACAAAAACCCGTCGAATCGGAATTTATTAATGCAGTTATGCGAAACGCGCAGCCTCGGCACGCGCCGCGTGGGAATGTGCGAAAATTTGCCGGTATTTTTAGCGCTCGATGAATTCAACACGTGTCGGATTGCGCGCCCGCACGCAGTTTTCAATTCGGCGCGATTAATAAACCAAATATACGCGTTTTTCCATTTCGAAATCCAGCCGAACAAAAAGTGAAGCGCGCAAAAAAATTGACGACCAAACACACCAATTATTATTTTCAATTCAATTTCCCCCGTTTTAGTTTGCGCGCCAACCGGAATTGCAATAATGGACGACGTGAGACGCTCAAAGAGAAAAGTAATGTCATCATCATCATGATCAAAATGACTCCGAACTACAAACTACAAACGGCGAAGAATCGTGAAATGTAAAAGGCAATGGCGGCGCAGGAAACGTCGCATGAAATCTCCGTCGCAATTTTCTGCTCTGCTTCGGCGCGCGATTATCGTTCACGCACAAATCGAGACGAGAAATGATAGTGCATTCTCTGGCTGCAGCGAGTAGCAGCGGCGGCGAGCGCATTTCAATCGCTCGCATGGAATGAGGAGTGAGGAATACAAAAGCGCGCAGAGTATAGAATCAGGCAGAACCGAGTGGTCACGTCGAAAATTGAATTTGCAGCCTGCATCTGTTCGCGACTCAGAATAGATGTGAATGTCGAATGCACGGGCGGCGGAACAATTTGCTAATGTCTTAATGACTGCTTCGACATTGACCGTCAGTATACAACTCAATGTATCGCTTTCAAACACATGCGGATACAATGCATCCTTTGAATTGGTAATCTAAGTATAAATGACAGATTAAATACTTACGAGAGGCACTTTTTGTACGGGAGGCATGTTGGAGGGTCCAGGCAGCGGCTCGCTGAGAATGGGCGAAGGAAGCCGATTGCACCCTGTGCTCAACATGGTGGAGCATGCAACGGCGGTGCCGTTGTTGTGCAGCGTCATGTCACTGGGCCGACACTGCTCCTCCAAAGTGAGCGGTGTGCCCGATGAGCTGCGGGTACGTTCGGGTGGCGGGCTACCTCCAGCACCTCCACCTCTATCTGGTGGCGTGTGGCATAACTTGGGCGGTGTGGGCACGTGTTCTCGAAGCTCTCGCTCCCGATTCCGATCACGCTCACGCTCTCGTTCCCGCTCCCGTTCAGCCCTTCTTTCAGCCCTGTCTCTATCTCGATCCCTATCACGATCTCTGTCTTTATCACGGTGGGATTCGCGGTGAGATTCACGATCACGCTCTCGATCCCTATCTCTATCCCGATCACGATCTCTCCCTGTGTTCCCGCTCACATCTTGCTTCCCGTTCTCTGTCCCTGGTCGTTATGTCCTCTGCTGGTGCCGCACTCGCCGATGTCGACGGTGAGGTTGTAGTGCTGCTGGTGGTAGTGGCAGTCGCCGGCAGCGGACTGCACGCCGACGGTTTGCTCACCAACTCGGTGGGCTCGGTTTGTTCCGGCTCTTGCTCCGGATCATCTCGTGGCTCCTGCTTGGCGCCGTTGCCGCCTCCCAGGTTGGTCATCTCCGCCAGTCCCTTCACTTTGAGACTTTCGGCCGTCTTCAGCAGTGCCGACAACTGGCAGTACTCGACGTTCACCTCGCCTTTGTACATGAACTCCACAAGGGTGCGCAGTTCGGCGAAACGCACGTCCTTCAGGATGACAATCGGGTGGCGGCTGGGATGATCGACGAACAGCGTCTGGAAGTACGAGGAGCACGCCGACAACACCACCTTGTGGGCGCGTATCGAATGGCCCTCCGAGCAGGCCAGCGTCACGTCCACCAGACTCTCGTCGCGCAGCAGCTGACTGAACACGCCCAGCAGGTTACTCTGATGATTGTTCCACCTGAGGCAATAGTGCTCACTTCCCATGTCTAAGACAGACCACACTGCAAAACAAATCAATAATTACACGATTAGAATATTTAATTTTAATTGGTTCATCAATTTAGATATAAATCATCTCAAAGCGCCTTTGCGCACAAATAAATAATTTTAATCTTTTATGTGACATTGATAAATAATTTATTTGAAATTCTGATGGTAAATTTTCATGTTTCATAATCATCTGAATGACATTCCTGTGTCAATTAGTTCCTCACATCCTTTCTATCCAACTGTGAACGCAGTGTGTCGCTAATAAATAACATTCGGAAATCCTTGAAATTGAAAAACGCACGCGTTGTCGCAATAAATCGCGTGCGGCTGCAGGGCCCTCGAGTGTGTCTCACACTGCGCGCTGAGTGCTGAATGTGCGTCGTCGGTTCGTCAATCCAGTTATAAATAAAAACATTGCGAAATCGCGCGTCGCGCAAATTTATGGTCAAGGCAATCGATTACGCGATATTCGCGATACGCGCGTCTCTCGCGAACGCGTCGCCGCACTTTTCTAAGCTGACCTACATTAGAAAATTTGCGCGCCTCGGCCCGGCCCCAAAAAAATCCATCTACACCATACCAGTAAACGAAATAGTCACCTTACGCAACTTACACAATCGAATGCAAATCTAAAACAACGACCATCGCACAATTTGCGAATATAAATCGACGCATTAAAAACTTTTTTGCATCACCATTTAATGCCCAGGCTGAACGAATATAAAGAAAAGTTTTGTTTTGGAATATTCGGCGTCTAATATGATTAGTTATTACAGTAATGTGAGTTATTAGTAGTTTTGTGTTTTATTCCGTTCGTGGAAATGTGTTCGAAAAATGCGTGAGCGGCTTGCGTTTTGTTTTCCGCACGCAGGCCTGGTGGAAAATAAAGCGGCATCGACACGAACCGCGCGTGAGAGAGGACGAAAAACGCAACTACGCAATTGAGACGCACGCGAAAAAATCGTCAGCGCGTTTTTCGCAGCGCGCGCGCGTCACGTCCACATAATTGTGAACATTTGTCCCTTGTAAAAATAACTTTGGCAAAGAAGCTAAACAAACCAAAAACAAATGCCATCAATTTTGCGTACATTTTTCGGGCATGATGACTAATTAGAACGAAGTAAGTGTATGCGGAAACAAATTGTAAGTTTAAAAAGAGTTGTAGGCACCTTTCTGACATTGATTATGCAATGTGGCGTTGTTGGTAACGCACTGGACGACTGGCCGGCGGCAGCGTGGTGGCGGTCGGCGGCGGCGACGCCGGCGGCGTGAACGACGTGACGGGCGCGTGTCGTCGAAAGCAGCGGCGCACCGTGCCGAAAACACTCATGCGTGGGAAGTGCGTGCGAATTTGTGTCCTGTGTCCGTTTGTTTTCAAAATAACTCTTCAACGCGCGATAAATGATCACTTCTTCACCACCTCCTCCTCATGATAAGGTCGAGTGTTGTTTTATTGCTTGGTTTTCTTCTTTATTGTGGTGACGATATAATGAGATGTTACCACGCGCGGTCGGTGATGGCTCGAGTACGGAATCATCTTGGTTCGCGCGCGCGGTTGCAGGAAAATAATCTGGCCGCCGCCGCCTGCCGCCGCCTGCACAAAGGCGGAAAATCTTTGCACTGCACTTTGCTTGCACTCGAATAGTAAATCACCGCGAAACGCACTTCTTTGTTCATCAGCCGGCAAAGTTTTCGATTTTTGACATCGATTTAGAGTGATTTTCGGGGAGCAGCACTTTTTTGTGTTCGCGTCTGCAGCGAGTCGGTTTTATTAATTATCGCGTTTTTTGTTGTCGTCTTGTGTTTCCTCGAGGGAGAGAGGACGACACCTCCGTCGGTGGTGGCGCTCGGAAAACTCACGGCTGACCCGGCCTGCAGTGACGTCGCCGGCCAACTGTCTGAGCGCGCCGTCCGCCGCCAACTCGGGCCGGCTCGCGGCCGACCGCGCGCCCCGCACCCCACCCTACGTCAGGCGCACCGCGACGCGATCGCGGAACTCTCACGCGCGCGCCAACGCACCGCGGTCTTTTATTCGCGTGCATTCGCAACTCGACCTGCAGCGTGCAATAACGCATCTTGCATGCAACGCCGGCAAACTTATAATAACACAAAACATAAGAAAACAACACTCTAAACCACAATAGAATCTTCCACAGAAAGTTTATCAAATCATAAGATTAATCGGAAATTTCATGTCACAATCTAATTATTTTCTTAGGCAAGAATAAAAATTGGTGGAGACGCCATTATAATTTTTTGTACAAATTACAAATTATGTAAAAAATGATAACTTTCAATAATAATTACTAAATATACAAACATGATATAAGTATTTCCAAACAAGGAAACACAATTTTTTTTCCTATTTGTTAGTTTTTGGGCTTTTAAAGAGCTCATGTGTAAAGATACGAGTATGAATGCAAACGAAAAACAGGTTTGCTGACCTGGGACAATCGAAAATGCACAAACCCTTTTTCTACCTCAAGTTTTAACCCACAGCCCAAAGTTCCCTAACAAAAGACATCTTAAACTAACTTAATTTTAACATTTATCCTACACAATTCACACCAGAAACTTGAATAACAAAAAAATTCCAATTTAAAGTAATTTATAAATGTTTATTTTGCTTTAATCATCAAAAAACAGTTTTGTTTGTGTCTGGCGAATCTTGAGATAGGTTAGTCATGCGCCCACAAAAAACCTCACTCCTGCAACGTGCAACGCGCGGGTGTCCTTTGTTTTTCACCTTTTTCAACACGGTTTTTTTGCGTCGGGAGTGCGAGCCGACACGGAGCCGACCATCGTCGCGCACGCAACGATGCGTGAAGAGCGCGCAGCGAACGCACGAAGGAGTCAAAGGACGTTACACTTAGACAAGACGAAAGAAGCGCCAACAACCAACAAATTTAACTACGTCTAGCGCAATTGCAACAACACGACACACTTAAATTAAACTTGCATCGCATCTAAATCTCGAATGTTTCTTTGCAGTCCGATAAGAACCGCTAAATTACTCGCATACCTCAATTATATTTCTCCGACTGTTCAAAGTCAAAGTCACAGCTCGTGATTTACAATGATGAATCATTTAATCATTTAACAAACGAACATACGTAACAACGCGTGTGCGTGCGCGCGTGTATGTGAGTGCACACGCGTTGCGATCGTTTATTTTTATTTATATTTGTTGCTAGGAACGCATCGTGCGCGGAGATGCGATTATCGGCGCGCTACGCAATCCGCCGCCCGTCCCCCGCACCGCCTCCTTCTCTAAGTGCGCTCACGCAGATTCGCAACTCCAATTTGCAATTCGCAACCGACCGCGAGTCAGTTCGAGCGAACCCAAGAGGGGCCCGTTGCGCTGCGCGGCGTGCAATTTTTTTTTGCAAGCGTCGACGCGTCGCGCTTGCGATTTTGCCGCACAATTTTCGGCGAGATGCGTTCCGAGGTCACGACCCTCGCGCGCAAACACCCAAACATCGCACAGACACATTCCCCCCATTTAATCCATCTAACTAAAACTCTTTTTATACCATTCTCAGTCTTAATTATTCTGTCGAAACTCTAGTTCACTAATGAATCAGACTGCTTCGCGTTTTTATCACCACACACTTATCAAATTACTTTTTGACCGGAAATTTTTGTTTTTTCCGTGCGCGATTTTATGTGACTTCTGCGACCAGACGAAAGTGTATTTTATTAGGGTAGTCACCCCTCGTTTTGGGGGTCGTTGCGACGCTGCACGCTTTTTTTGTTGTTGTGGTGGATTGCCCATCGACACGTCTGCGTTTCAGCTAAAACGCGCCGGCGGAAACAATTGCGCTTCGGGTTTATTCATCCGAACACGCGTCTTTCTTTCGTGCTGCTCCTCGTAGCGGTCGTGGCGACGTAAAGACCAGTTTGCATTGTTTTTATGCTCAGCTGTTCCGCGGCCCCATAACAATATTCTTTATGAAGTAACAAAGCTGAGCGAACGACGGCGAGCGCACGATCGTAAGCGATGCAATAATATTTACGGGACGAGCGAGCGTCAGGACATGTGTTCCTGCATCCTTGAATCGTTAACAGGATAACTGAATTAAAAAACATTTCCACTTGTTTAATTTTTATCAACTTGTTAAGTAATTAATAAATTATCTACTTTTTAATATTTTATTTAGAACGATTTTATTTTGATTGAAAAAGATTTAAAAGAAGTCAATTTCTAGTATTACAAATTGTTGTCAGTTAATGATAGTATGTAGTGCACTTGTTGCCTTGGTTGGCGTTGTTTATAAATACAAACTCCGGTTAAAAATATCACCAACCTATCGTAAATGTCAATTAATTGATAAGAATAGATAAGTAGCGAAAAAGTAGCCGCACCAAAAATGTTACGTCAGCGATAACCGGCTTGGGATGTTCTCGCAAATTACAATTGCAAAGTTTCGTGAAAATTTATCACGGCGCATTATTATTCCAAACATTCGGTATCGGTGCACACAGCGCTGTTGGGAAGTGAGTGTAATCGCGCGACACAACAATATTTTGATTAGAATGTGGCATATTGTCAGTCGCGGGGTCGCAAATGTGCAAACGCGCTGGTTTCATACGCCAATTAATACTTGCGAAAAGTTTAAAACGTCTGACACATTTGACCCACTTTTCACTGCAATAATAATGTATAATGAGGGTCAAATTCGGACACGAGATAATGGAACATTTACGATGAATACTGCAAATCTAAAACGTAAAAATGTCAAAAAAACAAAAAAATCATAATATTATCTTGTATTTTTGTTCAGAATATAGATAAAACGTCTTTATAGTTTTGTAATATTAACGTTGTTATTACTATCCATATGTCGATATTGGTAAATATCTACTTACATATTCATTGAATGGAACCTTTTATATATATTATTTTTTACTGAAAATTGTTTCATTCATTTCTTTCGTATTTTTTAAAACCTATTATCACGGCGCAAAAAAATCGAAATTTTGCTTTTTTGGCGAAAATTGCTAAGATTTGCATAATATAATCAAAATAAAATTTGCATTCAAAAATCCAATGAACTTCTTCTTTTAACATGATGCAAAATTATGACTTTTGAAGATTTATGTCGCGAGCTGTAACTTTCGAGTAGCATCGCAATTCGCAATGTCAATTCAGATTTCGAGTAGCGACGGTTTTGAAGTGCTATTAGCGCTTGGAGCGCGGCCCGTCCAAATTTTATCTAAACGACCTTCGACTGCTTTTTCGCACACGCATACACAAGCGCGGCGCGAGCGGCGAGGATAAGAATTCGCGATTTGCATGACCAAACCGAACGATACACCAAGTTTGCAATTTTTTTCCACCGCAGAGTCGGATCTGCGTCGAAACCAGCTGCAATTTATCGTTTATTACACGCCGAATCAAAACGCTCCAAGTAGGTACTTTCCTATAGGTAAAACATGCAGTAATATTTTTTACGCAATTCGTGACTTGTTTGATTGTTTCTCGCGTTCTTGCGGTTCGAAGAATATCGATAAAAATTTAATTATTTGACATGCAATTATTGGAGGTAAAACTTACTTTTTACCGGATTATCTTAAAGTTCAAACGGTAATGGAACAGCTAATTTGCTATTATTAGACGTTAGTTAATCGGGAAAGTTAAATCTACCACTTTTTGCATAAATGCAACATCGTAACAAACATAATCAAGTTCATCAAAATTATAATCTCTTATAAAATTAATATTAATAATAATTTTCTTGTTGTGTCTGCTCAAAGTTTACTCTTTATGAGTGTTTATCTAAGTTTTACTTGCAAATATGTTTTCTAGTGCGCTAACTCCTTATCTAACGATTGCACCTTAATCAGATTTTGTACAGTGTATCACAATAAGGTAATACATGTGCATGATTTTTTTGCATAATTTTTGCGTGATCACTCGATGAGTTACATCGCATCCAACACCACGCCACCAATTAGCCTGTCCGAACACAGGATTCGTGACTGGATGTTCTCTTCATCAGCGCGGCGCGCACATGAAAAACACATTAAACAATTATCATATCTGCATTCGGTGGATTCAGACGATGCAAAAAAAAAATCGGCAAGGACTGCGGTTTTTACAGCGCGCTGCTCGTAATTGAATGGCAAACATGATTTCATTGCGCGTTCGCGCGCGGTGTTGCGGGACGGCGCGACGTTTTCATGTGTGCACGCAACAAGCTAATTCGGGCGCGCTAAGCCACCGCTCGGCGTGTGTGCATCGCATTGTTATAATAAACCCATTGCCGCCTCGCTAATGGCGGCCGAAAGCGGTCCGACGGAGACAGAGCGCGCCCGCGCCCGCCAATATATAGAATTAACCTTGACCGACTGGAAATAAAAATGCCAGCGGCTAGAATATCTATTAGAATGAAACCCAAGCGAGCGAGAACCCGCAGCGCAGACCGCGGGAGCAGCAATAGAAATCGAATTTTTTATGCTTCATTTAATCACATGCTAGCGAAAATAAAAGTAAAAGCTGTATGATCATTAAATAATTATTCCTGTCTAAAGCGGTTGCAAATATACCTGGATGCAATCAACAAATAAAAATATGTTTCAAAACAATTTATTCTAAGCTAGAGATCTGAAAATTTAAGAACCAAAAGAATCTAATATAAGTCAATATCAAAAACATTGATAAAACATAGTTTCGCGTGGATAAATTTTCGATTATTTCCTTCCTAAACTTTGGTCCACTTATTTAAAAGTACTGAATGTTTGAGTTAAGCTCTCGTTTTCACTTTTCCGTGCAAATGTTGAAACAATTATTTGTTTTAAACTTGCCAACTTCCGATCGCAGAACGTTACGTAATTGTAAGTGGGTTTCGCAAACTGGGTTACGAAACATGTGAGGGAGGATGGTCCACGGCGTGTGCGGCGGCG